AAGGTTCCAGCACAGTTCAACTCCCTCTATCACTTCTCTATTAAAAAGAATTAGGTTCGGCATAGCTTCATTTCGAGTTCCCTTCTCTATCTTTCGGATGACAAAGTTGTCGGCCAGGTTGGTTAGGAATCTATTTGATCTCCCACTCGTTGCAGAGTTAGTCTCCCAGTTGGTATTTGGATAGTTAAAGTCTCCCATTGTTACCATGATACATACATTTGTTCTACATACATTTGTTAACTGGTTCGCAAAGAGTTCATCTATTTCTTTTGATTGTTGGGTAGCCTGTAATTATACACCTATGACAATATCACTTCCCCCTCTTTTTATAGTGGCCCATATACATTCTGGAGGGGTTTTATCTTTGATCATGTGCATTTCTGTAGATATATAGTGCACCTCCATCTCCTTTTTTTTGTTGATCTGTTTCTTTAGAACAATTTGTATCCATCCCTCAGTACATTCCAGTCATGGATTTTGTCCCACCAGGTTTCTGTAATGGCAACTATTTCATACCTGCCCTTGTGTACCATTGCTTCTAGTTCACCATTTGTTCCCCAAGCTTTGAGCATTTGTATATAAGCATTTAAGACTTTTATGCCTGTCCGTGGGTAAGTTTCCTGCATCACCTAGTTGTTGAGTTTTTCTTTTTTTTTTTCAACACTCCCTACCTCATTATTTGATTTGTTTTCTTGGAATTTATGATTGCTTTTGTGTTCTAGAGATTCTAAAGATTGGTCACCCTCCCTCTTCAATTTTAATGTAAAGCCCTTCTGATGAATTGGCCAGTCTTTTGCCGAGTACATATTCCTGTTTTCATAAGGTGTAGCCCAGAGGTGGTATTCAGCAGGTTCTGACCAGTTCTGGAGAACCGGTAGCAGAAATTTTGAGTAGTTCGGAGAACCGGCAAATACCACCTGACTGGCCCTGCCCCCATCTATTCTCTGCCTCCCGAGTCCCAGCTGATCAGCTGGGTCTTCTTTTGTTGCCCTGCATAGGAGAACGGAGCTGTAAAACAGGTTAGTGGGGTGAGGAGGGAATGGAGATTTTGCACTATCCTTTCCCTGCCAAGCCATGTCCACAGAACTGGTAGTAAAAATTTTTGAATCCCACCATTGGTGTAGCCCATCCCTTACGAAGAGTCCTTTGTAAAGGTAATGCAGTCCATGGTCCAGGAAACCAAAGTTTTCTTGGCAGCACCAACCCGTTTTAGCCAGTGGTTGATTTCTATATTTTTTTCCCCTCAATGGCTATTGGCCTTTCATTGGGAGCACCGATGAGAACACTACTTGTGCTCCTTAACTTTGTTGCCAATTGCTTATAATCTCTCAATTTTGTAATGTAGACAGACGTGACAGTGATTCCCTTCAATTCTCTAACTTTTTCAAATGCTGTTCCCAAGGCTCCACTTTTACCTTCTTCAGCTTCTCAGATTGCATTTGCAAACTGTGTTGTTCACTTAACAACCGCAGTGATTCACTTAACAACTGTAGCAAGAAAGGTCATGAAATGGAGCAAAATTCACTTAACAAATGTTTCATTTAGCAAGAGGTATTTTCTGTGACCAGTTTTCCATATTTTTTTTTTCATCAAGCTGCGAAAGGTAGGACAAAATGGTGTCAATTTGTCTATTCAGTCATCAGTAGTCAAACTGAACATAATAACACTTAAATTCAATGGGATTTACTTTTAATAATTAGACATAAAATTGAGCAATTGAATCGTAGGCTTTTTTAATTGGAGCACAACCACAGCAACCAAGATTACCAGGTGTACAGTTTCCTACAGTCAATAATAGATTCTAAAAGCAGAGGTTTTTTGTTTTTTTTTCCAACTGAGGCATCTATTATAAATCCAAACTACTTTGCTCTTTATCATCATAGGCTAATTTCCAGCCCTTGTGCAGGGAAGTTTCTTATGTGTCTGTCAGGGGTGGTCAAACTCAAGGCCCGCAAACCAGATCAGGCCCATGGGATGCTTAGATCTGGCCCGTGGGGCTGCCCTGGAAACAGTGAAGGACCAGCCCACAATGCCTCTGCCAGCGAAAAAGGAGATTGGGGAGCTCCGTTTTCACTGGCAGAGGGCTGCATGAGGCCGTCGCAGCTGGTGACGCAGCCTCAACAAGTGACACTGAGCTGGCCATGCCCACCCACCTCAGCCACCCCCGGCTCCGGCCCCCCAAGGTGAAACACAACCCTGATGCGGCCCTCAATGAAATCGAGTTTGACACACCTGGTCTAATGCATTTGACCACCCAGGTAGCTAGGGAAGAAAATGTGTGCATTAAATTCATGCATTCTAATTCAGTGACAGTATGAGTGAGAACATGCTTGTCCGGTCATTGTGTGTGCAATCCTTTCTATGTGGGAGGCACATTTGCATTGGCACAAAGTCAGCCTAGCCATTTTTAACGTCAAGGCTATTTTCACAGATTAGAGTTCATGGCTTATTAGATTTAAAACAAACATATTTTTTTTATTATTTGGAACATTAAAAAAAAACAATACAACAATAACCCAACAGACACCAGACTACCTTTAAGCAGTGTAGGAAGTTGGCACCCACCCCTCTCCTAGAAAAATGAAATATCCTAGGCAATATTAAAAGGGCAGAATATTTCCCCAAGAAGGGAAGTAGAAACTCAGAGGCTCACCCCCCCACCTTTGTTAATGGGCGGGCCATTAAGGCCTGGGCCAAAATATTCTACATAACAAAGGCCTCTACCCATCTCACCACCTGGCCTGGGAAGATTGCATCAGCCAGCACTCAGTTCACCTTGTGGTCCAGCTAAGTCTGACAGCCAATGGGATATATTTTTTACACAGGAACAGGAAACACTAAGGTGGGGCCCAACAGAGGGTATATAACTAAGGGTCTCTCAGCTTCTTGGCCCTTCTTTTCCTTCACCCAACATCTTGAAGCATGAGATGTTCTTTTCATTTTGGAGCTCTAAGCCATGTGGTCCTGTCTAACTATTAAACCATCTTTCCAAACAGCCTCCATGTTTCCAGTGTCTTTTTCCCCACTTGGAACTGAACCCAGAAGGATAATTCTTTCAACAGCAGTAACAATTGATACAAGAAACCTCTTTTCATGCTGCGGTTTGCAGGGCTTCGGCGGCAGGCAGGAATCCGCGATTGTGCATGGTTTCTGCCTGGGCTCGCCGCTGGAGCGCCCCGAGCCAGCTGGTTTCGGGGCTAAGCCACCCCGTAGAGGTGGTGAAGAGGGGGGAGATCGCCAGCAGGGTCGAGGAGAGCCGCATCTCTCCTCCTCAGCTGGTCAAACTCCCTTTCCCGAAGGCGGTAGGAGCGGTGGTCAGAAATGGTCACCTCAAAGAAGCACTCAACCGGAAAAGAAAGTGCAGGAGGAAGATAAGAAGTGAAAGTTTTGGCTGACCGGGATAAAAAGCAACAACTAAGGTACTCTGGAATTTAAATTTTATAAAAGATAACATTGCTCCCAAAGAAGAGTCGGAAGCAGCAAAAGAAAGTGAAAAGGGAAAGTTTTTTTTCCTTCTCTCTCCTTCCTCACATTGACAACGAAGAGAGCTGAATAAGAAATCGGAAAAATCCGCTTTGTCACCAATAATTAAGCTGAAAATATAATTAAATGCCAAAGGGACAATAAAGATTTCTGGACACTAAAAAATCCTTTTTGTCTATAAGTAGGAAGGGAGAGGAAAAGAATAAGGGCAGGGTCCGGAAGGTGGAGACTGCCTGGACTTCAAAAGAATCTAATGTAAAATCTCAATAAGACTTCTAAAACAGTGGTCCCCAACCACCGGGCCCCAGACCGGTATTGGTCCGTGGATCATTTTCTACCGGGCCGCCGGTTTGCTGGGTGCCGCCATCTTGTTTTGACGAGAAAGTGCTTCCGGGTGAGCTTTTCCGGTTGGAAAGTGGCGTTTGGGTTCTGTTGGAATCCTCGTGCCTTAGTTTCATCGAAGGGGGCGGGCGGCTTCGAACGAAGAGCCGTCCCGATGGCGGAGGAGATTAAGAAAGCACAAAAAAGCACAAAAAAGCACAAAAAAGGTACAAAGGAGGAGTTGAAGGTGGCGGGGAGAAGCGGGGGACGGCTGGCTGGCCGGTCGCTCGGCTCACCTTGCCTTGGTCATGCGTGCTGATGCAGGTACCGGGCCGTGGATCATTTTGTGATGCCGGTACCGGGCCGTGGCACAAAAAAAGTTGGGGGCCACTGTTCTAAAAGATACATTTTAACTGGAACTTTGTAACTAAATAGTAACCCCAGGAAGAGAAAGTGAAAAAAAGAAGAAAGTGTAAAAAGAAAGAGCTTGTGTGTATTTGGATTGCTTGGTGACTTTGGGTTTTTTGGATATTATATTTGAATGACTAAAAACAATTGGGTGGTTGTTTAAATTTTTTTTACAATGGCACTATCTCTGGATGAACTGAAAATGGAATTTAAAAAATATAAAGAAGAGACACACACACAAAAAAAGAAACCTCTTTTCATGCTAAAAGTTTAGGGCTGAATTTGAGCAGCGCCTTGAGGGCCAGTGCACACATTCTGCTGCCACCGCCTCGTACCCGGAGAAAATTACCATCTAACAACCCTGCAACGAGACAGTAGGCGCCCAAATCCTGCCTCCTGCATTCATTACATAAATATGCTAAATAAGCTCAATCCTCACGCCGCGTCTGCAGCAGCGGGTCGCTGTAGCACGACTAAACTTTAGGCCGGCGCAGTGAAAGGCCGTGAGGATGGGTGGGCGGGCGTGTGCCTTTGGGAGAGCGCGCAACCCCGTCACAAGGTGTGGCCGAAAGCCTGACCGGCCGACGAGGGCACGACTTGCGTGGTGCCTGGGGAAGGACGGACTCTCGCCGCCGCACAGCCCTTCCCCCTTGTCGCCTCTTTACTCCAGACGGGCGCGCGCTGGGCTGGCTCAGTCGAAATGAGAAGGCGATAGGCTCGGGAGTACAAGAGCGCGCCTGCTGGCTTGGCTTTGCATGAGAATCAGCGGTTTTTCCCAGCCGAGGAAAGAGGCGCGTTCCATCAACACGGCATCCCGCTCTGCAACCAGAAGCTGTGGCTACCTGTGAGTAGCATATCTCTTAGCATTTGGTTGGGGAGGGGGGGGGAATTTGTCTGCGCTCCTTCCCAGCAGTAGTTTTGTATGAGCTGTGGGGGCGGTGTGGCTGTCACCCGCCGCTTAGCTCTGCACCCAGTCGGTTCGGTCGCTTCTTAAAGACCCTGGGAGACCCGGGGCTGCGAGCTAATCTTCACTGGCGGCTCCCCATGGCAACCGACAGCCGCCGTTTTATGGAGACAGATTCCCGCCTCGGATCCTCGAGAAGCCAGGCGGTAAGGAGGGAGGGAGGGCTGTTTCCAAGTTCGCCCTGCTTTCCACCTGCTCTTTTTTCACGATGCCGAAAACATAGGCAGCAGGCGAATTATGGTCACCTATCGTATTCCGTGATGGGTCTCCAAGGGAAAAACTGGAAAGGTCCCGGGGCAAGCCCGGTCCTGTGCAAAAATCGCCATGCGTGGAGGGATGCGATAGCCGAGAAGGAAGAAACCGAGACATGTCTTTCTCTCCCTCTTGCCACACTGTCTCTGCCTGCCTCCTGCCGCTGCATTCTCCTTTTTGGTTTACAGTCTGAGGTGTTTTGGAGGATGGTACAAGGTATTTAATCTGTGGTTTTGCAATCGGGTCTTGCAGCTGTTGCAACTGAAGCTCATGTCATCTCAAGGCCTGGCATTTATCTGTCATGAGCTGGAGTCCTAATGGCAATCTTCCTCTTTCTTTCTCTTGCTGTGTGGGTGTGCCTCAGTTGTGCACATCCATATTCACTGTGTCTGACAGCCAGGCGTGGTACAATAGCAACATCAGCCGACCCTTTTCAGCATTCAGGGCTGGGCTCAAGTTTGGGTGTCTGGCTCAACCTGTTCTGGCACAGCCCCTGAAATGCTACAGGTGGGAGTTCTTTTTTGAGCAAATGGCTGCTGTTATTTCATGCATTAATATCCTATGGTGACAAAATAATGGCAGGGAAATGTGCTGGTTGCAGTTGAAACTGGGAGTCTGGAATTGGGTGGTGCCTTGTTGTTCCTTTGTAGCTGACATATCCTTTCCTCTCTCCTCTTTACAAAAATTATCCATTGTTTAAATTGTTGAAACCCCCCCCCCCCCAGTTTTGCTTTTTAGCAAATAGCAAAATCCATATCTAGAGTAATCTAGATTGATGGTGATAGAGGGCCAATTAAATCAGCATGCACTAACTGAAAAATTCTTTGATTTTCTTTAACTTCTTTTGCTGACAGAAATGTATTTTCGATTTGGCTTCTTTGCAAATAGCACAACCCAAATAACAGTCACAATCTTTCACGTTCAAACCTACAGCCAGGTCAGGCATTTTCTGTTGTGGGAAGCCCCCCCCCCCCCCCCCAAATAATGAATTATTTTGAGCAATATTAAAAAGGCAGAGTATTATATTTCCCTAAATGAGAAATGGAGAGACACGTTTTTTTAGAGACAGGAAGCAGACTCATTCTTAATAGCTCCTCCCAAAGCAGATATTTTGTGCCCATTAAGAAAGACTGGGCCAGCCTATCTAAAAAAACAAAAGACCATCAGATCCAGGATGATGGGACTATCCTTCAGGATATAATAAGATTAACCCAATATCATTTAGCAGAAGATTTAGAGTTCACTACATTGCACGATCTCCTAAGGGATATCTCAGATATTGCATCATCCTCAGAGCAGTCCAAACTTCAATCAAACCTGGGAGCTCAGACAAACTCATAGGATTTGTACTTTATAGCAGGGGTCCCCAACCACCGGTCCGCGGACCGGTACCGGTCCGTGGAACAAATCCTACCGGGCCGCTGGTTTGCTGGGCGCCGCCATCTTGTTTTGATGAAAAAGTGCTTCCGGTGAGCTTTTCTGGGTAGAAAGCCATTTCTACCCAGAAAAGCTCACTGGAAGCGCTGGGCACCGCCATCTTGTTTTGATGAAAAAGTGCTTCCGGTGAGCTCAGCGGAAGCACTTTTTCATCAAAACAAGATGGAGGCGCCCAGCTGATGCCAGTACCGGGGCGCGGCGCCCAGCTGATGCCGGTACCGGGCCACGGCATAAAAAAGGTTGGGGACCACTGCTTTATAGAGTTAGCTATGACTCCTACATAACCCCTACATGGCCCTGTGGGAGTCTGACAACAGCCAATAAAATACATATTCTTGCACAGGAACAGGAAGCTCAATGCAAAGCCCAAAGAAGATATAAAAACTCTCACTCGCCGCTCCATTTTGTCAACTGCCCAGAACCCATGTGGTTCTGCTTCATCTTTCCAATCATCCTCCATGTTTCCAGTGTCTTTCTCCCAGCTTGGAACTAAATCAGATGGATATTTCTTCCCACGCTGTAATACGTTAAAGCTTGCATGACCCAGCCTTCTGTGGAACAAATGTGCACACCCATTATGCTTTGGTTCATTTGAAGTATTGTTCAGTTTCAAACTTTGTTCACACATGTTATTCTTTATGATCTTACATGAAAACATTACCTTATACCCTTCACACTCAGCAAGACACATTCGGCAAATTGTGATCTAACTCTGGTACACATAAAACTTTATCAAATACTTTACCAATACATGGTACTTATATAGTTCCTTGCACAAAAGAATCGTTACCATTTGCCGGGATTACATATTCCTGGGCAGCTGATCCCAGACTAGGAAAAAGTTTTGGATTTACAATATGCTCACTTGCCCTACTGTCCAACAACTAAATGTCTTTAGTGTCTTTGTTGTTTGCCTTCACTATTGAAATCTGTGTGACTTCTTTCTTCTGTCTCTTGTGTTTTTTCTTTCCTGCTTGAATCTTTTAATCTTACTGGGCAATTTTTCCAGATATGCTGAGTGGATCCAGATGCAAAGCAGCATTTCACTACACAAACTTTATCTCCCACATTGTTATCT